CAATCATTGAAAATATCCACATACTACCACGGAACCGAGAAGTTCCGTCTGTAAAAAGGCAGCGCCGGCCGGCATGAAGACGCACCAACACACTGAGCAGCTGGCCTTGGATTAAAAGCGGGTCACCTACCGGTTGCTGAAAGGCCTGACTCTGACGGCCACCGTCACCTGGCTGGTCTCCACCTTCAGGGGGTCTGTTTCTGCAGAGGTTTTCTGAAGTGCCTTTTCTTCCTTAAGAAGGAATGTATTTTCACGCTCCCTTTCCTTTTGACTTGCGAGCAGAGAGCTCTGGGGCGTCTGTTTAACCTGAAGGGTGGGCCTCCTGTTTCTCAGAACCAAGGCAGCGGGGCTCCGAGGCTGCAGGACGCCACACCTGGGTGTCGACCTAGGCTCTGAAATGCACTTCGAGGGCGTGCTTTTCTCTAAGCTCTCAAATCTACGTGGAAGTTCCGAGGCTTCCTTCTCAGCACCCCTGTGATGCGAGGTCCCTGCTCCTGACACTTTGATCTCTAACCTGCTCTCGGCAGGCCTAATCACCAAGCTCGCTGCGCGAACAGCTTCGGTCTGAGCCTGGGAACCGGCGGGCGCTCGCTCACGTAGGGACGTAAGGGCGACGTTCTCGCCCGCCCCGCGGAGGGCAGAGCGCGCCGCTGCGCGTTTTCCGTCAGCCTTCATTCCGAGGTCTTCTGGGTCTACGGGCCCGTTTTTGTCACCGTTGACAGTCTTTACATTTATGCCAGTTTCTGGTGAAGGCCGACCGCTTTCTGCCCTGCTGCCCACATTCTGCGCTCCTTTCCGCTTTCCCACACCGGCTGTCTCAGTCCGACGCTGTAACGCAAGGCGTGCTTCTGCCGTTCTCGCGCCCGCGTCTCCCGACTCACGACCAAGCCAAGAGGCTTCCTTGCTCCTGGTCGCTCTCCTCTGAAGTGTCAGCCTCCCCACAGGGTTAGGAGAGAGGGGCGTGTCTTCTGTTTTCTTACAGGCAGAAATAACGTAAGTACTGTTGATGTCTCTGGTTTTACTTGCAGATCTCAGTGACGGATCGTCATTTTCACACACTGGCAAGTCGGACTTCGAATGCAGCTTCAGCTTGCTGCCCTGGGGGAGGACACCCAGGGATGACGTCTTTGTGGAGGAAGAAATGCCAAGGAGATCGCTGTCATTTCTGCTGTGCGCAGTGGAAGCGGACATGGTGGCAGAAAGTTATTTTTAAAAAGAATGTTGCTGAAGAAATGTTAAGCTCTTCTTTAGACATTCATCTGACTTCCGGCCATTTCTTATGCAACAGTTTCCAAAATTATCTGCTAAAATAAAATAAATAAAATTTAGACTGCACAGATGACAAACAGGCTTCAAAAACATGAGGACCTTCCATGGGAAAGTGACTTCTCAGGGGCATACATTAGGTCATGATCTCCACTGAGATATCCTTCCCAAGCAGCTTCGGACAAATCTCTGACCTCAAAGACCACACAGTCATTGCTCAACAAATATGTGCTAAGATCCCATGAGGTGCCAGGCCCTCTAGTGGATACTATGAATTTCAAAGACAAAACTCTATTTTCATTTCCTCAGTCTAGAAGGAACGTATAGATAAAGACTGTATCAGTTCAAATGTGCCAGGTGACTTAAAAAGATGTAAAAAGCACATTAAAGGAGATATAAGAATAGTCAATAAGCACATAAAATGATGCTCAACATCGTGGGTGATTAGGGAAAAGCAAGTCAAAACTATAATGAGATACCACATGATACCCATTAGGATGGAAACTAGCCAAAAAAAAAAAAAAAGCAGAAAACAAGTATTGACAAGGACATGAAGAAATTGGTATGCTTGTAAACTGTTGCTGGGAATGTAAAATGGTACAACCACTATGAAAAACAGTATGGATGGCCTCAAAAAATTAAAATTAGCATATACTAAGTCACTTCAGTTGTGTCTGACTCTTTGTGACCCCAGGGACTGTAGTCCACCAGACTCCACTGTCTGTGGGGTTGTCCAGGCAAGAATACTGGAGTGGGTTGCCATGCTGTCTTCCAGGGGATCTTCCCAACCCAGGGATCAAGCCCACCTCTCTTATGTCTCCTGCACTGGCAGGCAGGTTCTTTACTAGTGCCACCAAATTAGCATAGGATCTAGCAATTCCACTTCTGGGTATACACCAAAAAGGATTGAGAGTAGGGTCTCAAATGAAGAGATATCTGTATACCCATGTTCACAGCAGCATTATTCACAATAGATAAAATAGGGACACAACTTGAATGTCCACTGACCAATGAATGGCTTACCAAAATGTGATATATTCATACAATGGAAAATTATTCAGCCTTAAAAAGGAAAGAAATTCTGCAATATGCTACAATATTGGTGAACCTTGAGGACATTATATTAAGTGAAATAAGCCAGTCCCAAAAAGACAAATAATATAAGATACCACTTATATCAAGTACTTATAGTAGTTAAAATCATCAGCAGAAAGTATAATGGTGGTGGCTAGGGAAGGGAGAACGGAGAGTTATTATTTAATAGATGTAGAATTTCAGATTGACCCGATAACAAGAGTTACGGGGTGGATGGCAGTGATGACCATATATTTAAGGATGCACATTTTAAAATGGTTAAAATGATAAATGCTAGAAAAGAGAACATGTCAGCAGAGATTTTTTTTTAAGTGCCCCCCATCTTGGGGAGCAGCAAGGGGGGACTGAGAGACAATCCAGCCCCAAAGTTAAAGACTGGAGTGAAGCATTTCCGCACCTGCTGAATGCACATGGCATGCAAGAATGCCTCAGGGAGATGAGTTTGAGAGGTGTCTCAAGGCAGACCATACCCAAATAAATACCAGAGACAATAAATATAAGCACTGTAAAGTAATTGCTTGTGTTGAGAAAACTTACGCAAGATCAGTTAAGTATTCAGCCTGCCCTCTAGCAGTTAGACAACAAAGTTGACAGGAATGTAAGTAAATATGTGTCAACAATATCTATCCAGTAGTCATATTTAGAAGAAAAGAGAACAGCAGAGACAGCTAAGAGGTCTGGCTTCCCATCAACGCTGTATCCAACTGGTTATATTGATGTAAACAAGTCTTTAAATTTGCATGTCTGATTCTAACTTGCAAAATGACATCTGATCAAACTATTTCATTGTGAAGGCAAATAAAGGAACCCTCATTTAAAACGGAGCTAGGGGCGGGGGTGGGGGGTATCTGAAGAGGAGCTCTCAGGTTTTATCCCTTGCTATTTTTCACACTCTACAGGAAGAACCTACTTCACATCCCAGGGCAAAGAGGAAGAAAGGTTTCATCCTCACGTAGCAACGGCCCAGCCTGAGAAAACTAGCAGCTGAGCCACTAGGAGGTCATCACCACCCAGGCTGTCCCTCTCCTCCGATGGACTGTCATTGAATTCCCTCCTTTTCTCCACACAGGCAGGCCTCATCTGGCTTAGGAGCTTCACTTCGTTGCCCCTTCTGCATTTTTTTTACAAACGTTTGTAGCGACCCTGTGTCAGCAAGTCAGCGCCATTTTCCCAAGCGAGCATCTGCTCACTTCAGGTCTGTCATGCTCTGGAAATTCTCACAACACTTGAAACGTTTCCATTAGATGCCACTGGTCAAGGTGATCTATGGCCAGTGGTCTTTGATGTTAGGAGGAGGACTCCCTGAAGGTTCTGATGATGGTTACCATTTTTACCAACCAAGTATTCTAAACAAAAGTATGCATTGTTCTTTAGACATAATACTATCGCACACATAACGGGCTACAATATAGCACATATATAACTCTTCAATGAAACAAAACATTCAGGAGACTGGCTGCGTGGTCTCCCTGAGCCCACACAATCTGGGACAAGTTGCCCCTCTCCTCGGGGCTGGTCCTCACTTGAAGATCGCCCTGAGCTGCAGCTCTCTGCTGCTCCCACCTAGACTCTTCCTGCTAATACAGCAACTAACCCTTGTATTTTTAAAATCAACCCCAGAGATCATGACTCTGGAAGAACAAAACAACAAAGGTTCATTTTTAAGTAACCTGTGCAAGTTCTAAATCATTAACAATCATGCCAGGATCGAAGCATCTCCCATCACCTTCTAACTAAAAGCAGGCAATCTTTTAGTTAAAGATTTCCTGATGCGGAAGTAAATACAGAATCAAGAAGAGACTGAGGACTTGACCCGCAGCTGAAAACCGGCTGCTATTTACAAGGAGCAAGACAGCTCTGGGTTCGGGGAGGGGAGGGGGGTGCGCCCCGGGACACTGGAGGGAAGGGGTGCCCAGACCCTGGGGTGGGTTCTCAGCAGCCATCCAGCCGCCCTGTGGCCACGCGCCCCGAAGACGCCCTCCGAGGGTTCCGCGGCGGCGAGGGCGCGGCCCTCCCAGGAGAACCCCGGCCCGCCCTCCTTGGGGACCCTCGCCTCCTCTGCCCGGGGACCCCCAGCCCGCACCTCCCCGGGGACCCCCCGCCTTCCCCTCCCCGGGACCTCCGGCCCTCCGCTCCCCTCCCCCGGTACCCCCGGCCCGCCCTCCTTGGGGACCCTCGCCCTCCTCTCCCCGGGGACCCCCAGCCCGCACCTCCCCGGGGACCCCCCGCCTTCCCCTCCCCGGGACCTCCGGCCCTCCGCTCCCCTCCCCCGGTATCCCCGGCCCTCCCCCCTTGGGGATCCTCGCCCTCCTCTCCCCGGGGACCCCCAGCCCGCACCTCCCCGGGGACCCCCCGCCTTCCCCTCCCCGGGACCTCCGGCCCTCCCCTCCCCTCCCCCGGTACCCCCGGCCCTCCCCCCTTGGGGATCCTCGCACCCGTCCCCGGGGACCCCGCCCTCCTCTCCCCGGGGACCCCCCGCCTTCCCCTCCCCGGGACCTCCGGCCCTCCCAGACTCCCGAGCTGACCACCCACCCCATCCCTTCCCGCACCGACGCGCCGCCCCAAGACTGCAGCCCCCACCTCGCAGGCTCCCGGCCTCCTAGCGCCGCTCACGCCTCCGCCGCCGCCCCGCGGTTTGAATGCGCGCCCCGCCCTCTGATTGGCAGCCGGGCACCGCGCACGCACGTCCTCCCGGAAACGCGCGCGCATCTCCTAGACAACGGCCCCGCCTCCCGGGCTGCGCGCGCCGAGCGGGGCGCAGCCGTCTTGGAGCACGGACGCGGACTGCGGGCGGCGCGGGCTCACTTGGGGAGCGGGGGCGCGCTCGGGAAGGCGGGGGCGGGGACTCCGAGCGGCGGGGGCGCGCTCGGGAGGGAGAGGAGGCGCGCTTGGGGGACTTGGCGGAGGACCCGGACGTTGAGGCGCTTGTCCAGCCCCGGAGCAAAGTGAGCACCGTCCGTCCACGTCGCCCCAGAGCTTCTCTGTGCAGAAATAGCTGCTTGCCCCCAAGGTAGTCACAGCCATTCACGCTTTTCTAGGCTTTCCTGTGCAAAGCCTAGTGATGGGAAGTGCGCTGAATGCCTTAGATGGAAGTTTTTCATTTAATCCTGAATATTTTACCAGGTAAATATTAATATGATCCCCCAGTTTACCAATGAGGGACTGAGGTTTACAGTTAAGCTTGTGAAAAATTAGACAGCTAGCTGGCGGGGTAACTAGAATTACAAACCCACCTCGTGAGATATCACTCAGTTTCTAGAAATATCCTAATAAGGTTTTGAAGCACGAAAAAATAAGTATATTTGCTGAAAACTAGATGAACGAGACGAACAGATGAACGAGAGAAACTCTAGTCGAAAAGATATTTTTAAGTAACTTTTTTAAACAATGAAAAGTGCAGATAAATTGGATTCAGTGGGATAGAAAGAAACTAGAATGGACTCAGTGTATAGAAAAATTGAATGTATAATAAAATGCTTATTCTAAAACTCTCTAAATTTAAAATCATTGTAAAATTTATTGATATTAAGTTATAGAGCAACCATCAGAAAAAAAGAATGTACTATTTATCAGATCTGTGGGAAAATGATCAAGTCTACAGAGCGAAAGAAGATATGGCAAAGGAGAAGACTGACAAATACATAAAAATTCTAAACTCATAGATAGTTCAAAATAATGAAAAGAAAATGTAGTAAATTAGAAAAATACATTAAATATAACAAGATATAAAGATACCTTTCAATATTACAAGTAAAAGAAGTTTATAAGTAGAAACTTATAGTTCAGTTCAGTTCAGTCATGTCTGACTCTTTGTGACCCCATGAACCGCAACATGCCAGGCCTCCCTGTTCATTGCCAACTCCTGGAGTTTACCCATTTAATCGGTGATGTCATCCAACCATCTCATCCTCTGTCATCCCCTTCTCCTCCTGCCCTCAATCTTTCCCACCATCAGGGTCTTTTCAAATGAGTCAGTTCTTCACATCAGGTGACCAAAGTATTGGAGTTTCCGCTTCAACATCAGTCCTTCCAGTGAACACCAAGGACTAATCTCCTTTAGGATGGACTGGTTGGATCTCCTTGCAGTCCAAGGGACTCTCAAGAGTCTTCTCCAACACCAGAGTTCAAAGCATCAGCTTTATAGTCCAACTCTCACATCCATACATGACTACTGGAAAAACCATAGCCTTGACTAGATGAACCTTTGTTGACAATATAATGTTTCTACTTTTTAATATGCTGTCTAGGTTGGTCACAACTTTCTTTCCGAGGATTAAATGTCTTTTAATTTCATGGCTACAATCACCATCTGCAGTGATTTTGGAGCCCAAAAAAATAAAGTTAGCCACTGTTTCCACTGTTTCCCCATCTATTTGCCATGAAGTGATGGGACTGGATGCCATGATCTTAGTTTTCTGAATGTTGAGCTTTAAGCCAACTTTTTCACTCTCCTCTTTCACTATTTACTCAACAAGTATTTATTAAGCTTCTTTTACATGTCAGAGCTTACACTAAGCAGTAGGGATAGAAGTGAGTGGGTGTGAACCCTCCTCTCAAGCAACTTACCAATTTCTGTCACTAGAAATGTGCACTTTTAATTCTGATGCAAAAATCACTGGTACTGAAATTGTAAAAAAAAAATTCTTTTTTCACTTATACCTAAACTTTTTTTTTTTTACAGTTGCATTTAATGGCTGGGTTTTGCATTTTATTTTTATCTGAATTATTTTTGTGTGTACACCCACTCACTCCTATCCCTACTGCTTAGTGTAAGGTCTAACATGTAAAAGAAGCTCAATAAATACTTGCTGAGTAAATACCAGACCCCTCTAGAAAGCAATATGATCATTTATAGAAGGAAACATAAAAAGATTCATAGTCTTTGCCCTAGTTACTTACTGCACTACAAAAATTTATTCTTAGAAAATGTTTCAGTAGAAACCAAATAGTTTGTGGGCCCCAAACAGAAAAACTCTGCATGGCTTACCATAAGAGCATGCATTAAATGGTTAAAAATAAGGGGGAAAATAATAAATTATATTACAACAATTAAAGTCATTAAAGTTACAATTACAAATTAACTGGCAGACAGTGCATGGCCTGAGGACCTGCTTCCACCCCAGACTGAGCACACGATGGGGCAGGGCTTTGTCTGTGCCCACTGTGTCCCCCGCGCCTGGCACAGCATTCACAGGACACGCTTCCTGGACACACGTCCCTCTTCTTCTTGCTCTTCACGAAGCTCCTGATTTAATTCCAACTATGGGAACAATCCTCAACAGAATCAAGAGCCCCCTGTGAGCCAGCTCCGGGTTACACAAGAGGGATTTCAGTCTGTTATTTATTACACTGAGATGGTGCTCCTCTCTTCAGATCCTGCCCACAGCTCGCCAGCAGGGAAAGTCACTTCTGGGGACCTCCACTTCTGCATCTGGGAATTGCAGATGCAAATGCCACCTACCTTAGAGAGTCATCGTGAGGATCAAATTAGATTATGTGTGCAAAGTGCTTAGTGTGGAGCCGGGTACAGGATTATGCTCTGCAAATGTAAGCTCCTAAATTGCATCGCCTGAAAACACTCTCCAAAATGCTGTGGCGCCCTGGCCAGTGCTGACGCACCGCGACCATGCATGCACAGGCTGTCTGCTGCAGTGATGACACATTTTACTTTATGAAGGTTGAGGATTATGACTTAATCCCTAGAAATAACTGCAAGATGAAATAGCTTGTTCTTTTGTACGGGCCTCACTGGACTCTATTAAGAATCAGGAGAAAGTAATGAAAAACCATCTCCAAGGGGAAGCAGAACTAATCTCCATTTTGCTCTAATATGATTAGCATCTTTTAGAACTTCGGATCTTCTATGCTTTTTGATGGAAGACAAGAAAAAGGAATCTATACACCTGAAACTAACATGGTATTGTAAATCAACTCTACTTCATTAAAAAAATAAAATAATATTGAGCTAAAAATAAAAAGGAGTCTAGAGAATGCAGAATGCAGTCTACAGAATGCACACAAGGTTCAAGGGTGAGCAGCCGGCAGGCAGCGCACTTCATCTCCAGCCCTGGGGCCTCTAGTCTAGACTTTGGGAACACTTCATCTCCTCCAACATCCATACACGTGGTGTCAGAGCGCTGCCCCTTCCCCCCGGTTCAGGCAGACGGAATATTTCCTCACTATGACACAGCTGCTGGTTAAAACGCCCTGTAGTTCAAACCTGTCTTCAGATTTGACTCCTTAAAATAATAGCTCCTCCAGAAATCTAAAGTCATACAATCTGCTTGCCACTTGGATCACTTTACCTCTCTATCCCTTGGCTTCTTGGCCTGTAAAAGGACGAGATGTCAATAATAACTAGAAAAACCAAACCAGACAGTGTAAGAGAAATTATTAGAAACAGATGACACATGACTGTAAATTTTAATTGATGCATTTTGCTTTATTGATTATGCCAAAGCCTTTGACAGTGTGGATCACAACAGACTGGAAGATTCTTAAAAAGATGGCAGTACCAGATGACCTGACCTGCCTCCTGAGAAATCTGTATGCAGGTCAGGAAGCAACAGTTAGAACTGGACATGGAACAACAGACTGGTTCCAAATAGGAAAAGGAGTACATCAAGGCTGCATATTGTCACCCTGCTTATTTAACTTATATGCAGAGTACATCATGAGAAACACTGGGCTGGATGAAGCACAAGCTGGAATCAAGATTGCTGGGAGAAATATCAATAACCTCAGATATGCAGATGATCCCACCCTTATGACAGAAAGCGAAGAAGAACTAAGGAGCCTCTTGATGAAAGTGAAAGTGGAGAGTGAAAAATTTGGCTTAAAACTCAACATTCAGAAAACTAAGATCATGGCATCTGGTCCCATCACTTCATGGCAAATAGATGGGGAAACATTGGAAACAGTGAGAGACTTTATTTTTTTAGGTGCCAAAATCACTGCAGATGGTGGTTGCAGCCATGAAATTAAAAGACGCTTACTCCTTGGAAGAAAAGCTATGACCAACCTGACAGCATATTAAAAAGCAGAGACATTACTTTGCCAACAAAGGTCGTAGTTAAAGCTATGATTTTTCCAGTAGTCATGTATGGATGTGAGAGTTGGACTATAAAGAAAACTGAGCGCTGAAGAATTGATGCTTTTGAACTGTGGTGTTAGAGAAGACTCTTGAGAGTCCCTTGGACTGCAAAGAGATACAACCAGTCCATCCTAAAGGAAATCAGTTCTGAATATTCATTGGAAGGACTGATGCTGAAGCTGAAACTCCAATACTTTGGCTAGATGTGAAGAACCAACTCATTGGAAAAGACCCTGATGCTGGGAAAGATTGAAGGCAGGAGGAGAAGGGGACGACAGAGGATGAGATGGTTGGATGGCATCACTGACTCGATGGACATGAGCTTGAGTAGGCTCCGGGAGTTGGTGATGGACAGAGAAGCCTGGCGTGCTGCAGTCCGTGGGGTCGGAGTCGGACGTGACTGAGCTACTGAACCGAACTTCTTTAATCCACCAGAGGGAGACAAACCAAAAGAAAACGTTTAGAAAGTGTTCAGAAGTCAAGCGAGCACATTCAAAGACTTCTATTATGTTAAGATAAAGAAAACTGATTAACTCATGCTAATTAATGGTCGTAGCATGCAAATCTATCGCAATTTATCCAAATTCATAATTTTTAAATTATTAAAATAAGCGTATGTTATCTGGCTGAACAAAAAAAAGAAAAAACAACACCTACAGACAGGTGTTTGCATTTGGCTGCATTTTAGGGTCCGTGATTTAAAAAAAAGAAAAAAGTGCAACAGGACTATGGGAATTAATTTTAAATCCCAGAACAGAAGTGGAGGAAAGTGATCAGAGCTGAGCTCCCATCTCCGCTCTGTGGAGGGACCAGAGGCGGGTCTCCCTGTATAGTTCCCTCTCCTCTGAATTCAATTTCTGGGTTAAATTATCCAGTGAGAGTGAAGTCGCTCAGTTGTGTAAGACTCTCTGCGACCC